TTTATATTTATACACACACACACGCATTATACTGTTTGCTGTTTGTAGGTTTTTGTCAAATACCTTTAAATCTTTATATATATAATTATATATAAAGTTTAATTAATTACAAATATTCTTTAGAAAGGCCTGTTTTGAAAGTTGCAGAATTCTTTTTTTACTTGCTTAGTTGTCAGTTTCACATATTATTATTCAGTGGCGGATCCAGGAATTCGAAATAGAGGGGGGCTCAGGTAGGGCTTTTACAGACTGAGGGTCTGGGAAATTTATGAAATTGCACTCTCAGGTCTAAATTTAATCATATTGTTTTTTTCTCTCCATATTTGTTTAATAATTTGAATCCGCCACTGTTATTGGTTATGTGTGTGTGAGCTGAGTCAGGCCATACTGTAATTTTGTTTAAAAAAAAAACTATTTTGGCATACAATATTGATTGGTAAATAATTGGTCCATCCAAAACTGGACCAGCCAGACCGCTTCCTCGGCAATTAATAAAGTACCATTGCCTGTCCGGTGCGCAATGACTGACAATACAGACAACAATTCTCAGTGTATCACTACCCTATTATGCTTATTTTTAAATGGAGCTACTGTATTTTAATAGAACATGAATGCCTGCTATTTTTATATATCGTATTTGATTCAGAAATCGCAATGTTAAATTAAACTTACATTACTTAATCTCGAGTTTTTAAATATATAAAAAAAATTTCATTTACAATTGAGGGGGGAAAAACCAAAAAAAGAAAATAACCAGACGAACAATAACTTAATACCGTAATTCCAACCTTCTGAATGGGTCAATTGTATAGGTCTATGACAACAGATAGACAATTTAATTGTTGAACTTGCTTGTCCACATTTGTGTACGTTAAACCTAAAACAGGCCGAATATAGGCCTATCTTCAGAAATGTAAATGGTTTTCAGTGCTTGACTAGAGTTTACTAAATGGAAGAACAATCGCCGATATTGTCTTGTAAACATCTAAAGTAAATCTTGTAAAGGTCAATAATGGTTAATAGATCCATGGAATTCGTCAAGATTGGTGCAACGATAGCCACTGCCTGCCTGATTTAAAGCCCAGGGGCCTCCCTACTTTGTTTCTCTATTTTTCTTTTAGACAAATGGATGTCCATTACATAAATTTTAGTTTTTAGACTTGGAAAGATTAAAAAAAAATAGTTTTTAGAGTTGAAAGAGAAAAACAAATGAAACACCGCTAGTGAAATTCAAAGATAGATCGCATTCGCTATTGTGCACTTACCAGAAAATATTATGGAGGCACTGGGGGCTTCTTATACCAGTACGTGTACTGTCAATCGACCAACTTGGGCCCAAGGACGAGATCAAGGATAAATGAATATTCATGATCTTATTTTCAGTCAACCAAAAAAGAGTTGGCGAAATGAAAAATGCATTGGATTGAGGTTAAGCATAATAGATAGCAACTCTTCACTGGCAACATTCCTACATGAACTTAACCGGGAGTCATGTTTTTTATTATGTTATTAATTATCTTCATTGGAGATCGAGTTATCAATTTGCAAACTTGTACTTCGGAATCCTAACTGCACTAGTCTGTGTATTGTAATTTCAAGTTTAACTTTTTTTAAGCATAATACTGTACCGTATATAGCTGCACAAATTTTGTTAGAAATAGCCTACAGGACTATTGTATGTAGGCTATTTAGTGCGAAGATATGCCTCGCATGTAGTGTTACTATTATAAAAAATGCCCTTGTCGATTGATTGATTGATTGATTGAAATACGTCGCACGCACACACAAACAAGCATTGCTTTCATACATTAATATAATAGGTAATGTTGCCTTTATTCATGAAACAAATATCTGCGATACAAACACAATGTCATCAACTATTACTGTATTTTCAAATTATTCACAACTTAAGTTTGTATATAATTTTATAATTATTGTTGATATTCATTTATTTATTAGGTGAAACTTTTAGTGATTTATCCCACTCCCTGCTGTAAGGCGCATAGAGGTATTTTACATTGTGCGCTATATTAGTTGACAATTATTATTATTATTATTGTTA